GATGCACACTTTTAAAATAATTCTACTTTAATTAAACTTAGGAGATAATATAATCAATTAATCAATACGGTTTAGGAAATAAATTATTATTAACTAACTTTGCAGCAATTGCGCAAGTAATAATAACTTGTATTCGCACTAAATGGATTTAAGTTCATACAACATTTTATATATATATATATTATATACTCATTATATATATATATATACACACACACATATATACACTACACATATATATATGTAATGTTTCCAAACAAATGTGTAGATGAAAACAGTGGAACTTTTAACAGCTTAGCTACTGCGTAGATGACAGAGAATACCGTAGTGGGTTGAAGGTGGCAGAGTGGAAAGCATGGTGACGCAATTTAGCACAACGTATCTTGAAAAATCACAATCTTTATTTTTTATGCATATCAAATCATCCTTTTTCAGGCAAGATGTTTCCTAATTATATTTGAATACAGTAAGTTGCATTTTGAAGTACGACGTCGTTTTAACGCATGTAAGCGGCAGCAGCATACATAAAAAAGCATCTTGCCGGCAGGAGAGCTTATGCGGAAAAGGGCGAGAGTTAGAGTACTTTCAGAGGAAGAAGGCTGGGAGTGGGAAAGTTTCAGTTCAGGGTTTTGGTTTACAATTAACTTGATTGGACAAGAGGCATCTGCATTAAAACGTTACGTAAGATAGAAAAAATCTGGAATCTGTGAGAAGAGATGAATTTAGGGGCAGATCACCAAATTTAGAATGTTAATTTTGAGATCGCCAATTATTTTTTGAAACAGCTATCATATTTTGTTATATCTTACATATATATACTGGACTATATATATATATATATATATATATATATATAATTTATTTCCTAAACAATATTGATTAATTGATTATATTATCTCCTAAGTTTAATTAAAGTAGAATTATTTTAAAAGAGTGAATCCATACTGGTAAGTTATGTTTTGAAAGATGTTTTGAAGTAATTTGAAAGCAAAATGTTAATAATGTTTTAACGGGACTGGAGTTAATTCATCATGAAGAATAAAATTTCAATTGTAAAAGGAAAAATTAAAAACATGTAATCATTGTCATTGATCGGAAATTAGTTGACTTTTCAAGGGGAACAAACCAACTCCCGTTCAATGAACAATAATTGATAAAAATACGTAAATACGAAGGTTTTTCGTCTTTACTCGAGTTATAAGTTAAAGCCAAAGCGGCAATTCTAGTCAGGTCAATATTTCCGCGAATAGAAGGGATTATGAACCAACATATATATATATATTGGATGGTCATGAAAAACTTCCCCGATATATGAACCCCTAGCGGCATCCGAACCAATCGAAGTGAAGATTGAAGGAATACGCTCGAGATTATGATGATTTAAAAAAAAAAAAAAAAAAGGAGCTCTCACGGTCACTGTCACACTGGAAACATTCCGAAATTCTCGTATGGCAGCATGGCAGCACCAACTTTTTTCCTGCTCAAATTAATCAGCGCATTGAAAATCCTAAATAGCATTGAAACGATACACATATGATAAAAATTGTCAGCGTAAAACATTTGCATAGAAGAGCATTGTATAGGACCATTGACAACGCAAGGCAAGAGAGCGAAAGAACTTCAATAACTAGGGTTACAAGTTTCCAATATACTTACTTTTGCAGACGATAATGCATTGCATGCGGGAGGTTGTTGGCAAAAATGACGAATGTAACAAAGCAGGACAAATCTGTATAACTTATATGTGTATGTTAACTTGTATGTTTTACGGTATTTTTCAATTCTGACAAATCTCATGGATTTGATGCGCGCATCTTAGATTTCAGATAACCTGAAAACTGGAAATCCATTGGAGTGAGAGGCCACGAAATTGAAGGGTTACGGGAGATGACTCTACCTTGAAACACTGTACGCGTTTGAAAACTTGTAATTCCAATAACAGTTTTTTCCCCTCTCTTATGTTGTCGTTGTCTTTTACAATGCTTTCTCCAAATCTTTTACGCTAGCAATTGTCGTCAAACGTATATCATTCTAATGGCATTTAATGTTATTCAGCGCGTTGATAAATTTGCGCACGAAAAAAAGTAGGTGTTGCCATTCGAAAATTTCGAATTTTTTTCACTGTAACTGAAAACGTCAGAGTTCGATTGTTTTACATCATCACAATCTCAAGGGCAAACCGTCAAATAACAATATCTGAAATTTCATTTCGAGTGTTTAGGACGGATAGGCCTCTAAGAGTTCATATATCGGGAAGTTTTTTCATGACCACCGTGCATATATATGCATATATATATATTCTTTTGCTGATTTCGTTTCGGTTTTTACCAAGGAGGTTAGAATAGAAGGAGGGAGGGTTTGCAGTTTCCTCCTCTATCGGGGAATGAAACTCCACCGAACAAGCGGCGTCCATGTTTGTAACTTCAAAACATTGCATTACGGCAGTGAAACGTACGTGTTTTTAAGCTGTTCCGTGCATGCATTTTACAGTAAAAATATGTTAAATTTATAATGAAACGCTCCGCTATTAATAGTTTTTTTTTTTTTTTTTTTTTTTTGTTTTTGTTTAAAGTTATTAAGATGATATCCGTAATTTACTACGTACAGAAAATCATTAAGAAATAGTTCAAAATCTAAATGCATGGGCATAACATTAAAGCCTTTAAAAATGATGTTTCTGCATATTTCAAGAATTTGTTTAGGTTTCATTAGTAACCTGTCGGGTGTACATTCCAATTTTTTCTTTAAGAAGTGATATTTCTCATTTATTTACAATATTATCCTAATTTATTAAAAAATTATTTTAACCTGAAATTAATAGCAAATAATTATCTAAAACATAGTCATAGGTTGCATTTTTTTTTTTTTTTTTAAATGAAAGTTTTAAATAGATTCTTTTCATGACCAACAACTTATAACAACAAGAAAATAAATATTAACAAAATAAAACAGATTTATGTGAATTCAATGATTTCAGTTTATGCGCGTGAATTGAGTAATAAAGAAAAGCATTGCTTTATTTAACACCTTTACAATTCCTAAAAATAGTAACAATTGATTTCTTACTTTTCATGAAAATTATAAAACGAATTGCCTAAAACGTTCAAATTATACAGTTTAAATCCTGGCATATACTATCATTGTATATTAGGGGACGAAGATACCAGCTATAAACAGAAACATTAAAATGTATTTAACATATTTTGATTATTCTTAAGTTTTTCACATCTGAAAAGAAAACAACATGACATTGTGATTTTTTTAACATATTTATCAAATTATATAAAAAAAGAAAATCAATACTTACGAGTGAAACGTAATCCCAGGAATCTTTTTCGAAAATGGATTTGTGCATCCATATGAAACACAAGCTGACATGCTTCAAAATGAAAAGAAAAAAATATATATTGCAATTGCAGACTTCCTTGCACAAGTCACAGCGATAACAGTAACATGGCCGCCAAGTTTCACCGTTTGAGTTGAACCTTCCCTCCTTCTATTCTAACCTCCTTGGTTTTTACCTAATTCGAGAGAATAGATTATTGTTTCTGTTCACCTTTCTTTGGCGAGTGGCAATACTATTACTAAAAGTTTTATTCTGCTTAATAAAATAATGTATTTACTAAGTAATGTAGCTACCAAATTTTTTTTTTTTTTTTTTTTCATTACAATGTCTATTTGTAAATCTATTTGAATGTTTCTGATGCTGCTAACTATGCTATGCAATTCTTTAAAAGATTTTGAATTTACAAGCACAGCAAATAAGACTATCGAGACTTTGATTAACTAACTTGCGATTTTACTCGTGCAATAATACGGTATTGGGTTTCTTGGTAGACAACCCGAGAAGGTTATAATGCCCTAATTCATTATAGAAAAAAAAAATACGCAATTTAACCAGGAATAAAATGTTTCGCATATATACATAATAATGAAAAAAAATTAACATTTCTTGGTATACAACCCAAGAAGGTTATAATAATTCATGATGAAAAAAAAGTATTTAACCAGGAATAAAATGTTTCATATATGTACATAATAATGACAAAAAAAATTTGGCAGAAAATGGTAAAGAAAGGAATGGTTTGCAATAAAGGCAGCCGAATTTCAATTTATTTTCTTTCGTCTTTCTTTTACATTTTATGACATGGAAAAGAAAGTCGCTTAGAATAGAAAACGAAGACGATTAGTCCACACTTCCTATCTCTTTTAATGTGATTTTGCTCAATTCTGAGACCTTTAAGTAATTATTTTCACAAAATAAATTAAAACATTTTCTAATTAATAGATACGAGTTTTATTTAATAAATGATTTCAAGTAAAACATGTTAAAAAAATTTTTAAATGCATTGCGCTTCGTGCATGCATCCAGTTACGCCACAAAGGTATGCGGAAAGGAGGGTGAAAATGCCTTATATACTTCTTTTGAAGGGCGACTGGGAATGAGGGGACCCATTCGCCAAATCCTAGTGGTGACATATTATTTTCCACCACCTTTTAGTTCGGACGCCGCTTGTAGGGTTTTTTGGGATTTTTTTCGATGTCTGGAAACTGAATAAATCGGAAATGCCCTCGCCTGGATTCGAACTTCGGACTTCCCGATAAAGCTTCGAGCGTGTTACCAGTTACACCATGAACGCATGCAGAAAGAAGGGAGAAAATACTTTACAAATTATATTTAGATAGTTCAGTTTAATTAAAATTTAAAAGCATAAATTTTAAAATTGTAACTTGTGTAAATCATTACGTTCAATCACAAAATAAAAATATAAGGTGTAATTTCAAAAGAATTAATAAAGTTATAAATTTAGTATCCTGTTTAATTAAGACGTTTTGTGAATAATCATACTTTCAAAAAAAAAAAAAAAAAAAAGGGGGGGGGTTGTTCTCATTCAGACTTTTTATTTGGTCACGTGGGAAATTTCTTAAGCTGGTTCTATTCTACTTCATTTAAAGCCTTCACTTCTAAAAAATTCTTTATTTAATGTTATTTATTCTAGAACTGCGATTTTAAGAGGCGAAGAACTGACGGTTGTTGAAGAAGAAGTGACTGCAGACTTTTCTAAATACAGTTTGAACTGGATCAGTGACAATATTCCAGTCACGAAAAAGAATAGTCGATCCAATTTCCCTTTAATTTTAGAGGTACGTACCTTGAAACGCATTAATTCTGTATCATAATTTCTTACTAATCACTCCTATTAATATGCCGGATTCATATGTCCACTCCTCTTTCTGTAATCATATGGTGATCTATTGCAGAAGTTCTTCTATAAGGGGGGCTAAAAAGTAGAACAAACTTTAAGAGGCTGTAGAAAACGTCGAAACAGAATTTGTTGCTTTTCATAAACTGCTTGATCGAGAATGAAATACAAAGGCGCTAAAGGGCGTTTGCTTGCTAGCTGGTTTAGTTCTGGAAGCATAGATGCAATGAAGCTTCAACTTCTGAGTAGGGAGAACACAATGCAAATACTGAAAGAAGCATACACTTACGAGCTCTAAAAGGACTGTAGAAATATTATCTTCAAGTCTTGTGATGGAAACAAAAGTCAGAAGAAGGGTGTATAAGACCCTTTTATTCAAACACAAAAGATCCTCACAGACGGCCTCACTTGAGCTTACATGAGTCAACACTTATGGCTTAATTTAAACAAGTAACTGTAATAACTAACCTAACCGCTCGCAAGATAATTTAATCGCGCAGGAAGGCTCTGGTTTGTCGAAAACCGGCGAGACAAGGTTAATGGTTAGAAGCACTCAATGCCAGAAAATCAAATCCATGTTTAGTCACATTAATAACGTGGCTTCAAGTAGGCAGAACACGCTCTGAAATCAGCTTGTGAAACCTTCTTTTAAACAGCACTACTTTTCCCTCAGTCTGAATAAACGCGCGTTATCTTATTCACATTCTGGTATGAAAAGCGTGAGTGAAAAAGAAAGGGACAGAAAAGTTATTTAACTCAAAATTAACTATTTGTCAAACATGGTTAATATTTATATTTTAATTAATTAATTTAAAATGATATTATATTTGAAAATAGAAGAATAGAACTGTATTTAATTCAGTTCTCATAAAAATAATGGTTAGAGATTTTTTTCCTATTGTACAATGTTTACATATTCCACATTAATTACAAGTTGCTGTGGATAAAAACATCCCCAGATACTATGACATCATCTGCTATCATTGCATTGTCCTACGCAGTTTTTAACCCAAAGGGCGTTAGCCCAAAAGATCTATGTTCGTTTTGGCATTTTGCGTTAAAAACTTTAAATGTCCGTTTCACTTTTCAAGTTCTTGCCACCAAATATTATCTCCCTGTGTTATATTTTAAAAAATTAAATAATGAAGAATCCGCATAAATGTATGTGTGTTCCTAGCATTGTGATAAAACAAATGTACTTAGAGCCATCAAATTTTGAATAACGTAATCCTCCACCGAATACGGGCATCAGGAAGCCGGAATTTGGATTTTGTTTTATTATCTATTTCATATTTTGCAACATTTTAACAAACTTTTAATTAACAGTCTCAACGATTTCAAAGCGAGCAATGACAACGCTGTACGGGGAAAAAAAAAAAAAAAAAAAAAAAAAAAAAAAAAAATTATCTCCAGATTGCGAGACGGCGTATCGAAAATTCTAAAAATATACTCATTTTAAAATTATTTTGGATATTGCTGTAGAATTGAATTTTATGGTTTAAGTGATATCTAATAAATAAATGTAACATACAAAACGTTAAAAAAACTTTCAGTTTTTTCTTAAATATTATTATTATTATTATTATTATTTTGTTTCTACACTTCCCATAGACAGTTTGGTTCTACACTGACAGGCTGTGACTGATGAACTGAAATTCTTTTTATATTGAGTTTTAATTTTATTTCAAAGATTTAAGAAGTAATACATGCCTACAAAACTAGAAAGTATGGCATGTCATTCAGATTAAACTCACGTAATATATTCGGTTACAGTTTTTTATTTTTATCATACAATGTTTATACATCCCAGATTACGTTCAACTGAATTAAATACTGTTGTTGATAAAAAACTACTTCCAAATACTTTGACATCATTTGCGTTTGTCTTTTCCGTAAATTGTTTTTCCTAGGCTGGTATTTGTGGTCGCAATTTTTCTATCGTTTCACAATAAACTTACTTAACTTTTTTTAGATAAATGCCCAGTTAATTAGTTCCTCCGGTTAATCGGAAGTTGATTCTACATCCACCCAGCTGAGTATGTTAGGATAGTACAGTTAACGAAAGTGTTTTTCGGCAATCAAAGAGAATACAGTGGAAAAATGAGAGAAAAGAAATAAGCGTTTGTAATGCTAAACGAGCTGTTTAGTAATTATTTTATCTGAAAATCATGAAGATTGATTACAAAATTAAAAAGAAATAGGATCATCATGAAGAAATATGTAGAAAAATTAGCAACGTGAAAGGAAAAAGATTAATTTGTGCAGGTAAAACGCATTTAAACACTCCCGAGATTGCAAAGAGATTTTATAGAAGCAAAAATTATATTTATTTACGTAATTCAAAGAGAATTAACGAAGGAAAAGACGAAATACCAGAAAGCAAATTGTACTGTAACTGTGTTTAGAAGTTCGTTCATGATAAAGTTGTCATCGTTCATAACATTGGCAAACACATTCTAACGTTCTTTAACCTACATCTCTGCATTTCTCTCCTCTGAAGTGTAAGTACCTGACCTATTAGACCCTCGAGATACAGATGAACCGGTATACCTCGAAGACACTTTCGGACCTTTAAAAAAAATTGTTGAGGAAATGATAATATACACATCTGTATTAATATGTTATTTTGCGCTTTATATAATGAAAAATGGAACAATAAAAACTTTGTTTAATAATTCTAATTAATATGTTCTGCTCTTTTATTCAGCTTTGTTCGGCTTTCCGCAAACAGTATGTGTGAATGTGTGTGTGGACATAGCTTATAAATAAATTCTAGGGGTTAACATGCATATTACTCGTATACACGTAACGAATTTCGTTAGGATCGACATTTTGAACTAAACTGTATTTTACTAACTTACTTATTCAGTGTCATTATTATTTATTTCATTTATTTATTTTTTAAAAATTTTATTTGTTTGTTTATTTATTATTTTAGTTGTGTGTGAGCCATTTGTTTTCTAGGGTTAAACAAGGCCAACATCCAGAGATAATTAAGTCAAAAAATCAAGCTTGTAGGCGTTTTTGTGGTTAAAAATTTCTTTTAGGAATTTGTGTCCGAAACTAAGATGCGAATAGTAATACTTTTACTCAATCATACAAGTAATAACGTTCAATGACTAAGCAAACAATACTGCTATAACAATACTGCTATACAAATGACTGTATGAATAAATATCTCTGGAATAGTTTGCCACAAGTAGAAATCTTAAAGAAGTGTATGATAATTTTGGTCAGGTGCCTTCTTTCTAATAATACACGAAATTAAAATTTTTACGTGGGATTATATTTTAATAGAATAATTAATCACATTCTGCAAAGAATATTCAAGTTAATGAATTATTCCTCTATTTATTAAATATTTTGCAAGAAAGAAATAGGCTTGTACTGTTCAAAATTGCTTCTGAAACAATTATCAGAGTTGACTTAAAACACTTTCATTTCAAATAAAACCATCGCTTTTATTTATTGTATAAACACTGGCCTCAGGTATATAGGAACAGACGAGACACTTGCCCCAGGTCTCCAAATTCTTCTACAATATTTAAAATATGTCAGATTTACATTTTTCAATCTTAAATTTTACAAAATTAGAAACAGGGCAGAAAAATTAATCAATCTTAAGCTTCTGTCTCTGTTCCTCTAGTTCCAAATTCTTAGGAGATAGCTTTTATATGCTTAATCAGTTAACCTAATATAGATTTTCAGAGAAAATTATACGACTCTACCTTATTTCAAGTTGTCAAATCAGTAGAACTGTACAGTGAGCCTCACCACTTATCGTTCCATTTGATCTTTTAACTAAAGTTAACAAAATTTAAATTATAGGTTTAAAATAAAATATTTTTATTTGCACATCAGCCTAATGGTTACACTAAACTTATAAGTAAAGGTATAAAAATGAGGGAAATATAGAACAACCAAGTTAAAATGTGAAATACAAATTAACACTTTGTAAAGTAAGCTTTAGCTTAGGCCTAAGTATTTGCGAAGAAAATCCGGCTTGCTGAACCTAAAGCCGGTAATTCAATTCATACATAAAGGAGGCATGAAAATAGTAAGAGATCAGTTTGACTTCCAAAAGTCCTGTCACAGTCTCCTGATATGTATAGTGGTTAGCGGTGCGTGCGGACTCTATATCATTTGGGCTCGTAGTATCCCGAAGTAAGTACGTAAGTATATAGTAACTAAGGAGCTCTTAGAATACTGACAAGCCGAAAGTCCTCGCTAGTAGTTTGGAGGTAGAGGAACATATACAATCAACGATTAAATTCTCATGTCCCATCCATTTCTTTCTGCCCAGCCACAAACTCCAGAACTCTGCGCTTATGTACATGAGCTAAGTTGCATTCTAATGCAAGTTGATGAAAGAAGTTACAGTACACCCAAAATAACAAAATAACTGGATCAATTTTCAGAAAATCTTATAAAATATGATCTTGTTAAAAATTTATGAGCTTATATTTTAGTCAGCACGTAATAAATTGAGACCATGAAATCAAAACGACCTTTTTCTGTTTGTTGTACATAAATAATTTTAAATAAGAAATATTGAACCGTTATGTTTTTCGTGAAATACTTTCTGTAACTGGGCATCAATGAATATTTGCTGTATTGTGTAAAGTACAGGAGGAGTGCTCTTTCTCAAAAGGCTTTGCCTCAGCCATTTTTAAAAATCTGTTGCTAGAAATTGAATTTCGAATTGTATCATTTAAATAACTGGGATTCGAAATTCATGTTTCTTGTATTATTCAAGTTTAATGCCATAAAAGTCATTTTTATATTAGTGTTCGAAATAATAATATATATAACATTCATTAGTAACTTTTGTGAACAGTCACCCAAAATTTTAATCTGATTAATTTTGATAGCATAAAAATGAATTTATTCATAAATGGAAGAAAAACGCCGATGTAATACGTAAAATTAAGTATAAAAAGTGTTTAGCCTGGCTTCTTAAACTACATAATATCCATACAAGTTTAAAGCTATATTTTTGGCAAATTTTATAAACATGTTTTTTGATGCGAGTAATTAGACTACTATTTTTTTAGATTTTTATGATAGCTAAGTCATTCATCCACACAAAACTTAAGTTCCGCGTATTTTTATGAAAGGTATCACATCACCAAAATTGTCGTACAGCGAATTCCCGATTTATTAGGGTAATGCCCATAGTAAACTTAAAATCAAACTTAGTCCGGGGGAAGAAAAAAAAAAACACAAAAACCTCAGAAAGGAGGATAAAATGAATAACCCAAATTATAATTAACGGAAAGATACTATTAGCAATTTGCCTATATTTTCAAATACATTTAACTGAAGAATAAGTTCATTTAAATCAGTACTTAAAACAAAAAGAACACGCTGTAAATGACGGAAGAATAAACATCATAAAAAAGGAAGAAATAAAACTGACAACGACATTAAAGAACACTATCTGCCAACAGTTGGGCAATTTTTCCATCATTCCACAATAAATAAACTTAACTCTCCTTAGCCCGAAAGGGCTGATAATTTCGAAACACGATTTTTTATTGATTCACTTTAAATGTCGTCTAGCGTGAATGTGTTATTTCACTTTTCATTCGAATCTGCGAGCCCACCAGCGTCCGAGCGATAAAGTCCCTGAACATTAATAGTTCGGTCCGAGGTTCGAATTCCACGAACGGGCTGGCTGCATGGTCGTTTTCGTGGTTTTGCCCACGTGTAACGTGTATACGAGCCAGTTGCCCTTGGAAAGTTCTCCACGAAGGCATCTCTCCGCTCAGGCAGATAGCCCTTGACGCTTTGCCATAATCACACACACACATTCGAATCTGATGCCGTTCGTCAAAATATAAGATATTTTGCCTTTCAAGATTAATCTATCTATTATTACAAATTAAGTTATTTTAAAAGCATTTGATGCATTTTTAAGAATACTATGTTTTTATTTGTAACCTGATTGATTTTAATAAAAATGCTTTTCATTCATGACATATATAATTAAAAGCATTAAATATTTTTATGTAATGACGTTATGTATTTTTTGATTATTCAGATACGCAGAAGATATGTAATGTTCCCTTGTTAGTTTGAATTAATATTCATTTAATATCCTATAAAATATCGTGCTATACCGCCTGGATCACTTTTACTGATAATCTTTATTTATAAAGCATATTGAAATTATGATAATGCATACTAAATTTTTTGGGTGACCTCTTTTTTTTTTTTTTTTTTTTTTTTTTTTTTTTTTTTTTTTTTTTTTCCAATGAGGCTGGTTAATAGCAAGCAACTGAGTTAATTTAGCGCCCTGTAAATCGTGAGTTGACTGCAGTCTGAAAACCTGTCTTAATCGATTCATATCTTAGAAGGGAAGCTATAAGTTTACGTTCGATTTTTTCCAATAATATTTAGTCGGCGATTATTTTTGAAATATTTGTGCAACATAATTAATTATACTTGTTTAAAATGCTATGCAAAATTTTTTCCTAAAAATTCATTGCTAATGATTTATATCCGTGCGTTACAAAACCCATGATAACAAGAACACTCTTTATCCTCTTGTAGCTAGAAGACAATGGCATTTTGGAACTATCCCTGCAGTTCAAGTTTTACGGAGCTGAAGATACAAGCCACTCTGCATGGGGTAAATGTCTTCACCAGATAGAATATGACTGTTGCTATAAAGAAGAAAATTCTTTCGTTGAAATAATCAAAGAGAGTTACAGATGAAATTTACTTTAAAAGTAGACTTAATGTACAAATGAATACAAGATGAATTCAAGAAGTGAATATTTATATAGGTTGCTTGTTGCTTTCTCAAAGAAACCTCTTTTGAATTTTCTTATAAAATATCTCTTCAGGTTCATTTTCGCATTAATGGCGAATTTCGATACAAGGATAGAATCAGTTTATAAAAAACATGGTTTTTGCTTTCATTAAAAGAATAGCTGCAGTTCTTAGTGATATTTCAAAACTTACGGAAGTTACATAGAATATTTTATTGCAAAATAAATTCAGTTACTTCGGAAAATAAGAAAAAGACCTAAGATTACATTTGTAATAAAATAAGATAATTAAATTCCTTGGCTGAAATGAAAAAAGATATGGGTCTTTAATTATTCTATCTCAAATTCTTCAATCTTCCTAATGGAGTCAGCTTAGCTTACTTTACGGCGTTATCTTTTTAAAAACCTCAATAATTATTCAATGCATGGATTTGGTAAAAGAAAAGTGTAATACATGTTAGATATAAAGCATCTTTTTATGTATAAGACAACAAAAACCAAGCAATTTTCTTCAGAAATATACTACTATAAGTGTCAACGTTGCCTATGGACCATCATTAAATTTAAAATGTTGTTCTTGACACCTATAACAATTTTCTTATTCTTCAGGTAAATATTATCAATAAAACGTTTATTCAGTACGTCGTTCTTTTTCTTCCTTCTTTAGTGGAACCACTAAAGAAATATATTTCTTACGGTCAGAAAATTTTTGCTGCAATCTAAATAAGCTGATGATGAATATATATTTTAGCTGGAAATATCAAACTGGCGCATCAATCCTTCTACAGAAAACTGTTTAGGACGTGTTTTTGTAAGTAACAGAAAAAATACGTATTTAGTTATGATATCATGTGTCATCGAATTATTCGAGGGCAATAAAGAAGAAAAAAACTGCACTTCTCAAATTTGAACCAGCATAAGCACAGTCTATATAGTCTGGAAAATAAAAATAATATACCTAACAATAATGAAAATAAACTTTTGAAAAAGGGACAAAAGGTTAATCCATAATTAATTTCGTATTCTTATTATTAAATGAAAAGATTTTTATCAGCTGAAAAATAAAATTGTACACTGAGGGGGGGGAAAGGACAGTTCCCCCGTTTACAAGGCCCAATTGTAGAAATTCAACTTGAGTTTTCCATGTCTGGAAAGTGCCAACGACTTCATATAACAGTATATATCTCGTTGGAAAGTGCGACTTAGGATATGTATTAGATTTGTATAAAGCATTGCTCTAATGTAGGTATTTTGACACAAAAATCGGACTTTTTCTGAAAAATCATGCCATTCTTTTTTTTCCATATTTCAATTCTACGACTCAAATTATGCCAAACTGCCAAGTTTTGTAAAAATTCCGCTAGTAGTTTTTTTAAAAAAAATTAGCTCTCAAAATTTTAGCTCCTCAATGTTAATTGAATTCGGTATATATTTATTAATCTGTCTTTCTTTTATTTAATTTATTTGATTCTTCCTTTCACATTTCGAAATTTAGGTTCATTCCAAATAAAATTCGCTCATTATTTACGATTTACTTTTTAAATTTGTATTTTTAAATAATTTTTATAAAATTTTCGAAAGAAATTGAATATTATAATCTATAAGATTTTTACCATCATCTTAAAGTAGATGTATTTCTAAAGCATACCTGCAAAAAATTAGAGTTTTTTATTTAAAATTTCCGAAGATATATACGAGTTTATACATTGGCTGGTTTTGAAATTTGGCGTATTTGTTGAAAACAATAATAATATAAAAATGTATTTTCGGGACTTTGTTAAAATATTTGAAAGTAGGTGTGATGGGAATTTTTTTCGCTCATGCACAATGTAAAAAGGGTAAGAAAAATATGTTGCCATATATTAAGAAGTTCGCCAAGTGAATTATTCTTGGCACAAATCGAAAAGATGCTCCAAGATTAATTTTTTAATTTCTCCGTAAGTTTCGCAACAAATTTTACAAAATTTAATATTTAGGCATAATTTGAGTCTAGAATCCAAATATGAAAAAAATTATGGCATGTCATTTCAGGAAAAGTCCGATTTTGTGCCAAAATATTTATATTCGAATAATGCTATATATAAATCTATACATATCCTAAGTCGCCTTTCGAGACATGAAAAACGCAACTTGAAATTCATCGATCGTCTCAGTAAAACGAAAGATATAGAACTATTTTTTTTTTTCGCAGTGTATGTCTAAAATAAGGTTACAAAAAATGGCACTGGAAAACAATGCACCTTATTTTGCATTTACTTTGTTTCGAAATGTGACCAACCTGCGAGAGGTAAAATTTCCTTATGACAACTATAATTCTTGTCTGTAGCGCTGACTGTGAAAGCTGAAGGTCTGTCTAGTTATAGAAGAGGATATGACAGAGGATCATCAAAACAGTTTTTCCTAAACCTGTATTAGCTTGGCTGTGGCTATGGGTACATTGGTTGCGGTGTTATTACAGATCATCTGACCATAGGTATGAAAGGAGTATTTAATTAAAAAGAACTGCTGTAATTGCAGTGTAGAGTCAATTTCCGTGGTAAGAATATTGTTTATTTTTACGTATTTAAGTCTGGCGTGATATTTTTATTTGATTTTTAGTGAAGGGAAAAAATATTTAATTTATTTGTACTGAACTCGGAATATAACAGAACTGCAAATTCTTCGTTCCCTTTGTAAATATTCAAAGGGTTATGTGAAAATAAATTTTTAAAATCTAGCTAAAATAGATTCTAATATCGTCACGTTATTCAGATGTTAAACTTTTAATATACAATGAATCTCCTTACCGAAGGTGCTTCCTTAAACAGACTACTTTTAAAATTTACCAGCATTTTTGATAGTATAAACAAACGCCTTTACTGCAAATCGCATCTCTAAGGTGACCACTTCTGCAGAAGATCAAATCATATTGAAGTTGGATAGTCATCCTACAGTTTAATATACACTACCCGACATTGAAAATACAACACCAAGAAGGAGTGACCAGAAAGTAATGAAACCCAGCAAAGAGAGAGAGATAGCAACGAACAATATGTGATCTTTATTTCGAAATGATATATGCATAATACAGAGCAAGAACAGAGTCGGCTCAGTGGGCTGTAGGACCACCTTGGACGGCAACACCTCTAGGTACAGAGTCAATGAGACTACGGATAGTGTTCGGAGGAATGACACTCTATTCTATGTCAGCCATTTGCCACAGTTTGTCTTCTGAACGCGGCAATGGCAGAGTCTACAAATGGCGTCCCAAAAGTGTGCTATTGGTGAGAGATTAAAAGAGAGTGGTGGCCAGGGAACCATCCGTACACCTTGCAGAGCACGTTGCCTGATGCAAGCAGTATGTGGTCGGGCGTTATCCTGCTGATAAAGGGGACTGGGCACTCCTTGAATGCAGGGGAATATCACCGGGTACAGCATATCATCCACGTATCGTTGGGCCGTCATAGTGCCCTGAATACAAACTAGAGGTGACCTAAATTCGTACACAATTGCGCCCCAAACCATGATACCGTATTATCGTGCGGTTGGGCGTTCCATAGTTGCTGTCGGACTGGGCCTGTCTCCACATCGACCCCACACTCGTACGCGGCGACTGTCGTTGGAGAAACAGAAGTGTAACTCATCTGAGAACACGACCTTTTGGTATTCTGTCGTCCGCATCGCCAACGCCACCTAGAGTACAATACTCTAGGTGGCGTTGACATCGCTCGAGCCCAGCACCATTGCAGACGTTGGCGTCTGTGGTCTCAGGTCAATGGCAGTCTTCTTAGCGGACGCCACGAGTGCGGGCCACTAGCCACCAATCGACGGCACATGGCTCTGCTCGATACGAGAACGCCCAGGGTGTCTTGAACATGTTGCAGAATGGAGGTAGAAGTGGCTTGAGGGTGCATCATCGCTTGTCGGTGGATGCATCGATCCACGCGTGCTGATGTCACTCGCTGCACCGACACCCCTCGAACTTGCCACATTTCCTTTTTTCAACCATCGTCGCCATAGCCGGTGCACTGTGTATGCGTCCAGGTGTGTGACAGCTGAGATTTGCCTTAAGGACCAACTTTTCCTTTTCATTCCGATCAACGTGCCCCTCGTAAAATCATCTATCTGCTGGAACTTCCTCCTTTGACGATAGCATGGTATTCTCTGCAAGTACATGCGTCCCCGAGACAAGAATAAATTTTCTACGATGATTTCCCTAGCAAAAATAACGGCACTAAAATTCAATATTCTAAACGTTCTTTCCCTTATATCTTCTTCAACATGCGTTGGAGAGCTGCACACTCTACAACAGTGCACACTCTACAACTCGATGACGAGCGTCTACCCTGAAATTTACATAATTTTTGGGTCACTCCTTCTTGGTGTTGCATTTTCAATCTCGGGTACTGTATTTCACAGTATGAATCTTTCTCGTAATCGTTACGAGTATTCATTACATAAAGATGTAAAGCTTAAGAAAACATATTAATTACGATTTTTGGGTAACGTAATGCTCATCATATAAAAAATACGGAACAGTTCTTTGTATTCAATAATTACAAAGGTTGGAAAAGGGAAATTAAATGAACTTAATAATTCATCATGGTTAGTCAATTTTCAGTTTAAAAGTTATCCTTCATACTTCCTTGTACGAAGCAAAGGAAGTATTGTAATCACGAAAAATTCCGGGTACCATATTTCAACAGAAATATCCATTTTGACCGCTATCGAATGCAATTTAACAATGCTTTTGCGTGACTTCTGTATTTAAGAACAAAATAAGGGACTCTTTTTTCCCCAAACGAATTATAAAACTGATTTGAAATGGATTCAGAAGAGATTTTTCAATGGATTTTGAAATGGATTCAGAAGAGATTCAGAAGAGAGATACGTACGCACGTACGTCTGTACGTACGTGCGTACGTATGTCGTACGTATATATGTATGCATAACGCAAAAAACAAAAGCCTTAGAACGTTGAAATTTTGTATGTGGGACTGCTATAACATGTAGATATGCACATCTATTTTTGGTTGCAATTGGCCGCACCAAAGGTGTATAAATATGTGTATATAGATATGTAAGAAAAATAAAGAATCTTATTAAATTAGCAACGTAAATTTCAATTCTCTATTCTAAAAATAGTAACCCCTCTCTGCATTGCGTCATTTCGAGAAAAATCTATGTCATATGACTCTTACGTAATTCTGGTGATGTAAATTGAACTAAAACTCAAGCAGCCAATAATAATTTTACAGCAATATTAACTATCCAATCCAAATGCTTTGAGAACCAAAACTAACTCAGTCTGACTTGAGATTTTGGAACAGGCACATTTAATGTGATGACTTGTGTGTAGCCGTAACAATTTGCTGAAAATGAAACTGAAGATTTACTCTGTATTTGCCTCCAATTTCCTAGTCATTATGGATCAAAACTTCTACGACATCAAAATTCCTGCTCCTGAATATATTACAATGAGTCTGAGTTTGAATTTATTACATATATCCACTCTGTTACTCGGCTCAGTGAGCTTAGTTTCTTTATTCTTATATGTTTTTAAATTATGTATTTTTTGCTTTAAAAAGGATTGAATTATGTGTTTCTTATTTTCCGGTTAAGATTTTTATGCCTTTAGTTAGCCTGCATGTTACAGTTGTGA